ATTTGACCGATTATTGCAGACTGCAGAACATCAAGGATCAAGTAGCATGAAGAGGAATAACAATCTTGCATCTCTATGGAATGCTCATGCTTAGAAACAGAAAGCACAAAAGGTGTCTTCTTTCACTCCAAATCAACTAATTATTCATGATCAGCAAGTAGGACTTGAGATTCCTTGTGAGGAAGAAATACATGAGACACAAGAGATGGAAGATCAAGAAGCAAGACCTGAAAATCCTAGTGACGAAGAAATACATGAGGAACAAGAGATGAAGAGGGAATTTATGATGTTGATCGTCTTCCCATGATCCCGGAAAGAGGATCCCCATCATCCAATATTCTCGCCAATGAGCAAGATGCGGTGAGAAGAGGATATATTGCAAAAGGGCCATGCCGACCTAAGGACATATAATTTTTCCACGACGACAAATTGGTGGTAAGCGCCGCTTTCCGGTTAGATGGTTTGACAAGTATGATTGGCTTGAGTACGAGTGTGGAAAATGATCGCTTTCTACGCTTTGTTTGTTATTTGTTGTTTGCGGATACTGACTAATTATGTTGGTGGTGATGCTTTTGTGAATAGTGGGTTTAGAAAATGGAACTAGCCTGCAAAACTTGACTTGCATGTTGGAAGCATTACAAGCACCCACAATGAAGCTCTTGAGAAATTTACTAATTTCATTAGGCCAAGAGCATCAATAGCAAGTACTTACATTAAGCACACCACAGAAGAAAAAGTTAAATATAAGGCGCGCTTAACCTACTCAATTGGTTGTCTGAGGTTTCTTTTGCGTCAAGGGCTGTCTTGTCGGGGACATGATGAAAGTGACACATCTAGCAATATGGGAAATTTTAAGGAACTTCAAAAATGGTTGGGTGAAATGTTTGAAGACGTTAGAAAGGTTACAGGATAGAATGCTCCCAAGAATTGTCAGATGACTGCCCATTCCATACAAACAGATATCATTAACGGTTGTGCCAAAGAAACTAGCAAACTTATTATTGAAGATCTTAGAGATGACTACTTTTCTATACTTGCTGATGAATCTAGTGATGTTTACCAAAAGGAACAGTTAGCTCTTTGCATAAGGCATGTTGACAAAAAAGGGAGGGTTACAGAAAGATTCCTTGGTATTGTTCATGTTCAGGATATTACTTCTTCAACACTAAAAGATGCAATAGTGTCTCTTCTTATGGAACACAAATTGACATTATCTAAATGTCGTGGTCAAGGATATGATGGAGCTAGTAACATGAAGGGGGAAATCAATGGGCTGAAAACAAAAATCATGGACGAATCTCCTTCAGCATACTATATTCATTGCTTTGCGCACCAACTCCAATTGACTCTTGTTGCTGTTGCCAAACAAAATGATGATTGTGTCGCATTTTTTGATTGTGTCACAAATATTTTGAATGTTGTTGGGATTTCTTGTAGAAAGCATCACATGCTTAGAGAAGCCCAGGCACAGGAGGTTTTGGAAGCTTTAGAACAGGGTGAAATTGAAACAGGACAAGGTTTAAATCAAGAGATGGGTGCAGGTAGGCCTGGGAGATACTCCATGGGGAACTCACTACAAGACTATTTCTCGTATTATTGCTATGTATCCCACACTCCGGAAAGTTCTTGGGAAGATCTCAAAAGATAAATCTCAATCTAAGCGTATAAAAGCTCAAAATTGCTTGACAAAGAATTGAGTCATTTGACTTTATATTCATGGCACACTTATTGGTCGACCATATTTGGATATATGATGAGTTATGCAAGGCTTTGCAAAAAAAAAGGGATCAAGACATTATTAATGCTATTGAACTTGTTGAGATGACTAAGTTCCATTTGCAAGTGTTGCGAGAGGACAATGAATGGAAACCTTTTCGAAGGATGTCACATCTTTTGTGTTAAACATCGAGTCAAGGTTCCCGATATGGATGGTTTTTATGTGCCTGTGGGGAGACCAAAACGTTACTTTGTGAAAGTAAAGAATCTTCATCGGTTCCATGTTGAAATGTTTCTAAGTGTCATTGATATGCAACTCCAAGAGCTCAATAACAAGTTTGATAATATATCTTGCTTATTATTTTATTATTGTTCGACTTTTTTTGTTTTTTCCTTTCGTAATAATTTATTTTCTCCTTACTAGGGCAGGTTTGATGAAGTTAATCTGAGAGCTTCTTGTTTGCATGGTGTTCTAAATCCAAACTAATTCATTTTGCTGTTTTTGATAAAGATAAACTTATGAAACTTGTAAAGTTTTATCCTCAAGATTTTACAAGTACAGATTTGATCCAACTTTCTTCGCAGCTTAATATGTTTATTGTTGATGTGCGAAACGACACAAGGTTTCAACAAGTGAAGAATCTTAATGAGCTATCTATCAAACTAGTTGAGACAAAGAAGCATGATCGCTTTAAACAGGTTTATTTATTGCTGAAATTGGTCCTCATCCTTCCCGTAGCTACTGCAAGTGTTGAGAGAGTCTTTTCAGGAATGAACTATGTGAAGACCAGGCTTTGGAATAAGATGGGTGATCAATACTTAAATGATTGTTTGGTCACATTTATTGAGCGTGACTTTTTTCGAAGTGTAAGCAATGAAGATATCATTAAAAGCTTTCAAGCCATGGAGGAACGGCGTGTGAAGCTTTAGCTGGAAACTTGTATTAGTATATTAGAATTATGGAAAGTTGAAAACATGTAACTTATCACAACTATTTTATCATCGTTTAGTGATCTAATTATGTCGTGTCCATGTTCGCTGACTATATCGTTTTTGTCCGTACCTCAATGATTGAAATCGTAGATCCGCCACTGGGGCTGGTCGCTGGTGGTTCGGCGGAAACCGCGAAGGGCAGGGCAACGGCAAACCGGCGGAGCTGGCGTCGAAACCGTGGGTCTCGCTCGTCGGCTCGTGTGGTCCGGGAGCCCGGCTGGACGCACGTACGTAACGTACGCGGCTGCGGCCTGCGGACCCCGCGGGATGCAACGCGTCACGCATTGTTGGGTTAACTCGGCGGCATGGATCGGACCTGGGTTGTGTGGGCCGGGTGAGGGAGTCGTCGCAACCGACGGCGTACCTTCAAGGCCCACCAGCGCGGCTCGCCGCTCTCCATCGTGAGTCGGGACCCCCGATACGTGTTCGGTGCTCGTGCACCGGCATGGGTTACGACAGTTGGGGAGGATACATACATGATACATGGTCACGTTGCCGGTCACGCACACGCACCTCGTCCTGGCTCGACTCGACGGAGGGGACGGCAAAGCATCGAATAGACGGACCTACAGTGAGATGGATCTTCCTCGTACTCACACCTGTGCTTTGTAGTAGTTCGTACGCATCTGACGCTAGCTAGCACGAGTGCTGCGAGCTTCGTCGATTTCTCACAGACAAGTTCTCTCTGGTAAACCGTGTGTTGCGCTAGAAACCTACTCCAGTACAAGGTACAAGTAAAAGCAAGGCAACTAAGTCCCTGTCTAGATTTCGGAACACGGGGAAAAGTCTGTGCAAAGCCCTACCACTTAGTACAAAATTCCTGCTGAATTCTTCGTAAAGTCAATGCATCTCGAACGGTGCTTAACTTAGCCCACCCCAATACGAACTTCTTCATCAGTATATACAGTTATTATACACGACCTCAAGTAGCCCCGTCCTCACAGCGTCAGCCGCCAACCCTCCCAGAAAACGTGCATGGGAATTCTCAAACCGATTGCGACTTTTGCCACCTCGCAAGTCGCAAATGCCGAGTAGATACACGATGTATACACGCAGGCAGGTGGGCACCGGGGGCCGGGGCACACCGGGAGCCCAGGGCAGCGCCTTGGCCAAGGCAAAAGGGGGATGGACGCCCATTGCCCCGAGAACGAAAGGGCAGGTCCCTATCGGCGGCACCGGCACGGCTAGTAGCGACGCCGCGCGGCCGCCGGCGGCCCGCCCCCACGACAGCGCCAAGAGCCAGACGCATGCGGGGGCCGGGGGCGGGCGTCCCACATGGCACCTGGCACGCGCTGACCTGGACCAATCGCGCCCGCCCCCCCGGCCCCCACCCCACAGGCCCGCGTGACAGAGGATAAAGACCGCGATGCCGCCGCATATCCGCCACGCAACGCAAGCAGTACTACCAAACCCGCAACAGCCTCCTGAGTGGGCGAGTGGCATATCCTGCCGCGCTGTCAATGTGACCACGGTGTGCTCACCTTGTCCCCCCGGGCCATCTAATCCATCCGTGATCGTGACCATGCAAGGACTTTTTCAGTCGCCTCCGTCGAGTCTCGGCATACGGACGTGACGATGATTAGTTTGGGAGCCTAGTCACTCCCTGGTTTTTGATTGAGAACTTGCCCCGATCTCGCGAGGAGAAAATTATTCGGGGGGTCTTCGTTTATTCCCCAGGAGGACTGCGAATATGCTGCGTCTTGATCCTTTTGGAGGCCAAAGGGTCGCTTCTAAACACTGTACAAAATGCTAAGGGTAGGGCACGTACTTAAATAATACAAACCTCGCTATTTTATCGTCACATTGACGCTAAAATATGTAGACGGCGTTATGGGATACAATCACGTGCCTAGAACTTCACAAAGCGGCTACTGAAAATCTCTGTACCAGAAACATGTACACAAAAGGAAAAGAAGAAAAGAAAAATGCAGTGCACACGGTAAAAGTAAAACAAGAATTTCGACGTTATAACGTGCCAGCCATTGGGTCTCCGGAATGGCTACCAATCCCAGCGCGGCATGACAGAATTAGCCAGAAGGTTCTCTATCTTTAGCGCCATCAGGAGAGCATATTCCAGGGCTCACCGCTCGGTGCTCGCTAATCCGTTTTCTCAAACGCCTAATGCCGTGGTTAATCCTGGGAATAAACCCTCCTCCCGTTGGGCGCCCGTCTCCGAACCAACCACAACCACCCTATAAAACCCGGGCGCCCGACTCGCCCCCTCCTCCCCACCGTCGCAGCAGTAGCTCACACCACCACCACCACGGCACCACCGCCTCGCCGCCGGCGACATGGCCGTGTACATCCGCCTCGATGACGCCGTCCGCGCGCGCCTCCGCGGGGACGCCACGGGGTGCACCAGCAGCGGCAGAGACCACGACGCGTCCGCCTGCCTCTCGGGGCTCGTCCAGGCGTTCCTCGAGACGGGCGCCGGCGCGGCCGAGGAAGGCGGGCCCGGCCCGGCGCCCAAGGAGTTCGACTCTGACGAGGACGACGGGCCCGGGCGGGCGGCCGCTGCCGCGGCGTCCATGAGGGCGCTGCTCGACCCTCCAGCGGAGGAGGACGTGTTCCGGATCAGGCTGGCCGCCGCGGTGGCGGCCGCCATGGAGGCGGAAACGGCTCTCCAGGCGCACGGGGCTGCGTTCCGGCGGGCGGTGGTGCGGCGGCTGCGCGGCTCCGGGTACGACGCCGGCGTGTGCAGGTCGCGGTGGGAGGCGTCCGGCGGCATCACGGCCGGGACGTACGAGTACGTCGACGTGGTCGCGCCTCCGTCGGCCTCGGCCGACGCGCGGAAGCGGGCCAGGTACATTGTGGACGCCGACTTCCGTGCGGGGCTGGAGGTGGCCCGCGCCACGCCCGAATACGCAGCCGTCGTCGCCGAGGTGCCGGCGTCGGCGGTGGTCGCGCGGGAGGAGTCCGTCGGCCGCGCCGTGCGCGTCGCGTCCGACGCCGCGCGCCGGTCGCTCCGTGCCCACGGCCTCCACGTCCCGCCCTGGCGCAAGACACGGTACATGCTCGCCAAGTGGCTCGGCCCCTACAAGCGCTCCACCGCCACCTCGCCGGCGGCGGCGGCTGCCGGAGGAATGCCGATGCCCGGCGGTGCCGGGATGGACGTCAAGTGCCGCTCTGTCGGGTTCTTTGCGCCTCCGGCCACCGCGCCGGCGGCCAGGATCAAGTAGCCTTGCTTTGCTCCCGGTGGTCTCCAAGGAGATCGATCACTCGGGAAAAAATTGTTTCTGGTAGTGTAGAAAGGTTTCTAGTGCGAGAGTTTGATTTTGACTTCGAGTTGCTCTCGAACTTGTTTTGTACAGTGATTTTTGTTCGAGATTATGAAAAAATTGTAAAAATGACACTCGAAATATTGACTCCTCAATTACGATGGTACTCGGGTGGATGATAAGTGTGTTCATCTGTGTCTATAAATGTGGGTCCAGTGTCAAATCTGCAAACGACCGATCCCTTTTACAAATTTAGCACCTAGGTGGGGGCAAGGCTATTTTGACCGTTCAAAATCATTCACTTTTAGCACTTAGGCGGGGGCAAGGCTATTTTGACCGTTCAAAACCGTTCACTTTTAGCACCTAGGCGGGGCAAGGCTATTTTGACCCGTAGTGGAGTTTACTCAAAATGATAATACCGGTACCGACTGTCAAGACGCGTGGGCCCCACATGTCACTGAGATGGAGGTTACGTGTCAAAACCGCTCCTCGTTGGACAAAACAGCCTCACCCGCTCCCATGTGCTAAAAGTGAATGGTTTTGACAGTTAGACTACCAGTACTTAGATGATTTTATAGATGAGGGTTAAAATTAGACCGACACAATAGTTGATGGGGTAAAAGTGGACTTAATCCTTAAAAAAAAATAGCCGAGGAATAATTTAGGACTCAAAACCTGATCTTCCCTTCCTTTTAAAACACCAGAGATGAAAAAGATCGGAAAAAAGAAATGGCAGAAACGATGTACGCGGCGGGCAGGTGTTGTGCTATTGGATTAGCATGGATAACACATAACAAACATGATCACATTGTTTATACGAGCCCCTAGTTGGCATCGTGCTTGTCGGCGAGAGATTTTAATATTTCAGCAAAGCAGAGCTCTGCTCGCTGTGTGATCTGCGTTTGATACTGTATTCTCTCCTTTGAAAACCATTCTGAAAACCAGCAGAGCATCCTGATAAGCAAGCACATGGCAGCCGTTCTACTGCGACTCCGTTGTCGCCTGGAGAGAGAGGTCCCCGGATTTTGTTCTGTCAGCGACCAACACCTCCTAGTACTAGCAGTCACTAGTCTAGTACCAGTAGCTCTTAACAAAAAAGAAGATGCTTATGCTTCAACCTGTAACCGTGTAATAAGCACTGCACTTCGGCGTTAGTAGGAATTAGGAAACATGGACGTGTACGTGCCTTGCCGGAGGAACCATTCCATGCGTGATCGGTTCACTGGATCGATCACGGATCCGTGTTTATCTGAAGAACGATGCAGAGACAACAGAGTAGAGCACTGTTGCGTGGCATGGTCCATGGCAGCTTAGGGTGGGGTTCGCTCGCTGTGGAACCTTTCATGCCGATGCAGCAGGAACTTATTGCCATGAAGCGGAGTGGATTGGATTGGGGTCGAGAAAGGCGACGGAAATTATTGTCAGTGGTCCTGAGTTAGATGGATAAAACGAATAATGCAGCGGCGACGAGACGGGACGGATCGTCCCGTGGACACATGCGGGGGGGCCATGCGGTGCTCAGTAGTCGCCCGCTCCACTGCAAGGCCTCCGGCTCCGGGCTCCGGCAGCTTGGCGAGGCTTCGGCACGCGGCTGCGTCTCCGTGGGGATGAAGTGGAGCCGCCAGCCGCGGCCGCGCGCGCCCCTGGAAACGCCACGGCGGCTGCAGCGGGTAGCGGCCAGGGAAAGGGACGTGGGACACTTGCCTGCCGGGCCGGGTGGATTGATCGGGTGGGGGTGGGACAGCAGGGAGGGGCGACGGAGGGCTTATCAGTTATCACCATGTCTCCCCTCTGTCTGTCGCTCTCGGATGGTTCCGGCCTCGCCCGGATATGATGGTGTCATCATGGTGAAGTGGCCGGTGCCCACGCAGTTATCTGTAACACCTAGTGCTACTGACTACTCATCCCATGGTGATTTAATTGGCTCCCACTTATATTGACTGGACAGATGTAGAGTTTTGAATCATTTACCCCAGATGCGTCCAGAGACTTGTCGACCATGGTTGGATAATGCACTGAGTTCAGCTAGTGTTATGTTATCGGTCCAATTTCATTACTTGTACTGAAAACATAGTGAAAAAACTAGTGTCAAGAAGAAGAAAAATAGAGGCGCAACACTCGCTTAACCAGTAGAAGTGAGCCCAAATCAGATCATGGAAGAATGCACAAAACCAACCACACCAATATCTGAAACGACTGACTACAACGACCATACGCTCGAAGTAGATAGGCTCTCGTGTTTTGCAGCTATGCATATACTCGTAGATACTTTCTAATTTTAAGGAACAAATTAAAGAGAGAACAGTTTAAATTGTGGCAGTGTACGTGTTTGAACGCTAAGATCAAAGAGCACAACAACGTGTGGCATTGCTGCAACTGCCGTTTGGTGCTATGCAACAGGATATCAAAATTGCGTGGCCATAGCACATGGTAGGGGGCATGGCATGTCAGTATGTCACTGTGACGACGACTCGCCAAGCTAGTGGCTTGTGGATCACTCATCATTGCATGAGAAGTGCGCGCCATGCTTGTCTGTTCCTCTCTCCATGCTCCTCTCAGTGTGCCCAAGCGCTTGTTCGGTATGCACCACCAGCTGAAACCGATCGGATATATACTCTCACAGTCTCACACATGTATCAACCAGCCACTACTAGTAGACACTAGTATATGCGAGAGCACGGATCACGAGCACTGGATTATTGTAAGAGGCCGAGCAGGGTGATACGGCACGTGTGCGATCAATCATGGACCGGTGATGGGGTCACCGGGACGTGACGAATTTTGCCAAAGCTTTTGATGAGGTTGAGTGGTGAAAAACTTAAACGCATGGTCAAAATGTCTTATGGGCCATGCTCTGCCCTGGAAAGATCAGGCATGGTGAAACCTCTGGACTGTTGACCCTGTGGACGTGTTGGATTAGGACCAGAGTTTTTTTTTTTGCGAGGTTGGCTTCAATCCGTGTTGAACTCTTCTTCTTTTTTCTTTCTTTATTAATGGCTACAGTTCCTTAACCTGTTTAGAGTAGCTAACGCACACATAACTCGACGGGAAATGTTTGAATTGTTCTACTGAATTTTCTTTTTCTTATATATAAAAAAGAAGTAGATACACACACACAACTTGTGATGTTCTGGAAGATTCTTCGTTCATCACGGGATGGCAATTGCTGGTTTGAATTATGATTTGGGAGGCACGTGTTTTCGGTGGCTGCCAAAGGATGGCTAGTTGAGTTGGTTAACTGAGATATGCTAGTCACTCCGGCAGCACCCTCCAGGTCCTGAGTTCGACTTTCAGTGGGAGCGAATTTCAGGCTAGGGGTTAAAAAAATCCCCTCGCCGATCCCGGGTGCCAAAGCACTGGTTTAAAGGAGACGGCCCATCTCACGAGTTACGTCTCCCAGTGTCGGGCCGGGACCGGGATTCGGAGGTTTTCTCGGCCTATGTGAGAATGCCTTCTTCTTACGTATAATGCCCGGGGGCGGCTTACTCCTCGCAGGTCGAGTTTTTTTTTGTTTTTGTTTTCAGTGGCTATTCCTACATATAGGAGTATACATCAACTTGTTGATAGTCTAGCCTACGCACGCTGACACAATTTTGTTCTCATCGTGTGGATACCAGTGATTTTCAAAGAAATAAAACGACACAAACCCTGTATCTAAATCTATGGTGTTTCATGTATATTTTAAAACGGATGGGTAATTCTAAATACTAGTAATGTGTCGTTGCTCAACACGCCTCAGCTCACACAATGACACACAATGTGCTAATCCCTTTGTTAATTGGCTCATTACTGGGGGTAGTGGACAGCCAAGGTCCTAGATTATTAGCACGCTGTTCGCATGGTCACCAAAAAGACGAGCAAACAGCATCCGAATCCGCCGGTTGACGACGATATCATATCATGGGTATAAAACTAATTCACCCTTGATTAATACAAAAAAATTGCTGGAGCAAATGGCTTGAGGAAGGGATAACAACATGGGGCCAAGCCAAAGGCCAAGTGGCATATTCTCCCGGGCCATATATAGAACCTAACCGATGAGATCAAAAGCCTCTAGGATGACAGCTGACAAAAACATCTTGAGCTCTGCAGCGATTGACGTTACTGACTGGAGAAGTGTCACATCACATGGCCGTTGTTTAGGCTCATCATGCGAGTAGAATTTTGTCGGAGCCGTGCTTCTTTTCCAGGAGTAGTAAAATCTCATGTTTCTTCCCCTGATAAACCAAAACCTCATCTGACGTGGACCTTTCGGGCGTTCAGAAGCTTCCAGTGACAGAGATGATCATGGACACTTGAAATTTACACCTCCAAGACTGACTTCATCGTCAACACACCCAGTTGCTACTCTCACTCTCAGTGCAGCCCACTGGCTACTGCACGTCCCACTTCCTTTTTCCACAGCGGGTAAAACGATGTTTGATCAGTTAAAGCTCCATCCGGCTGAGGGCTGACCTTTTGCAGAGCATAATGCGATTTATTATTATCTCATGGACATATATTGATAGCGTGAAGCTCTACGAAGGGACTGGACGCAACAAGCTGTCACTAATCTAATGGCAGCCACATTACTGAGTTTATGCGGACATTCTCCACCTGACTGATAAGTGGTACTATATCTGTCCAAACAAATTAATATTTTAGTTTTGTTCTATAAATTAGACTATCTTAAGTTTTGGTCATGTTTTTCATAAATATTAACAGACAAACTTGATCAAACTTGAAATAGTTTAACCGAGAACAAATTAGAGTATCAAGTTTCTTTAGAAGAGAGGTAGGGAGAAAATAGACCTTCCTTCTTAGAAGTTTTTGTGCACTTGCTTCTAAAAATAACCCTCCGTTTTAAATTATGAGTCATTTCAATTCTTCTTAAGTCAAACTTATCTAATTTTGAGAAGTTTGTCATAAATTATATTAGCATATATAATATCAAATAAATGCACTATCAAAATATATATCTA